AGGCATCAAGAAAGTCTGCAATGTGTCAGTCTTAAACTCATGTGATTCAGGATGCAATTTCAGTATCCCCAGATCACCAGGTCTACAAACAGGTACTCCTTGTCATAAGTGTGTTTAAAATATGTGATTTCATTTTTATGCGCTTGGCTAATTAAGACTGATTGATCACCAACTAACACGGCCAATAGCCTGAGAATACTTTATTAATGAAAGCCGCTGTGAAAGCTTCACATCATATAATTAAGACTGATTTAAAATAATAGCATTCACTTTAATGTGAATTTCTTGCTGGCCGATTGACTGAGGCAGGGAGAAGAGGCAGTAGTGTATTGTATGGGTGGCTGAATAGGAATATGAGGGGAGAAGAGATTTTCGTTTTTTGATTTATGTGGTTTTCCTTCTGGGACTTTTCTTTGGAACATACTTGTATTCATAAAATACTTATATAGAAACTTACTTTTTTTACATGGCTTGCATAGGCTCATTTCACTTGCTCAGTCTGCTAGCAAATGATTATCTGGCACACTGCGTCGAGTTACTGGAAGCTGAAGAGCGGACATATGAAATGATATGGAACATCTCACTGGATGGTGATGCAATGTCAGTTTCAGCAGCTCCTGGAAAACAAACTGTGCTCTCAGCAACCAACACAAGTCAAGAAATTTTGGGTTCGTATGACTGAAAATCTATTTATTTGATTCTAAAAACAATGTACTGCATGCCTTGCTTCTCTCCCCCCCCCTCCGCCATTATTGTAGTTTTTTATTGTTTCTAAATTCTTTAAGATTCTAGCAACACGATATAAAATAATGTGAATTCTCCAGGTGATTTTCAAATAAACACAGCTTGATTTCATAGCGAACACTATTTACTGTTAAATTTGCATGTGCCAACAAATTATTAATTTATGTGTCTGTGCTGTATGCTACTGTGTTCATTAACATTCAATACGAAAAATTTTCTAATACAATATAGAGATCTTTTGTTGATTGCACATGGCTACACATACAACATATTAACAGTTATCCTCCACACTACACTGAATCACATTAAAACATAATGTATCTTCCTTATGACAAAGAACAGGTAATTTGTACTCATCCTCACAATATGTAGAGCTACAACCTATGATTCACTGAATATAACCATCTGATTTATAGGAGTCTGTGTTTCATGATCATGATTTGCTAGATTACTCATTAAAGGTGTCCTTATCAATCTTATTTCATTAATAAATACAAATTAAATTTCCAGAATACCACGAAGAGACGATGATTGCAATGTCTGTGCCATTTACTTACCAAGCTGGTTTGAATGGGGGATCAAAGAATTCATATGACCACATATACCTGTCTACTCAGCGCCAGGTATGAACTGTGACTAGAAAATTATCTAAAATCTTGATTGCCAATTAATTCCATGGAACAAAGCCCTTCTTTAGAAGCTTATAATATGCTCAGCTGGTCAAGAAATTCCCTGCTTTTTATGGAACCTGAAGGTCCACTAATGTGTTCTTAATAGCCTGTCACCAATCCCTACCCCAAGCCGGACTAATCCAATCCACAACCTAAAAATTTATTAACCAAAGATCCATTTTAATATTACCCTCCAATCTAAACCTAAATCAGTCTTGATGGCTAAAATACATGAGAAAAAATTAAACTGGTGAGTACATTGTAGTTCACTTCATTTTTCTGAATTGCAATACAAGTGCATACACACACAAATAGACATTATTTACAATTACACTTGCCTACTTTTTGTGACTTTCCCTTCATACTTGTAATATTATGCAAGTAATTATTCTGCAAGTCGCCCTCAGTGGACTAATGGTTAGCATGCTTGTCACTGGACCCAAGGTTCACAGGTTCAAACCAGGCCGAGGTTGATGGATTTTTAAGGGTGGTAAAATTCCGTAGCACAACTTCCTTCGGAGGGGAAGCAAATCCGGCGTACATTTATGGCACGTAAAAGAACCTCACGAGCATGAACGAGATGTTTTGTAAGCAGAATTCAGTGGCTATTTCTCACCCAAGTCTCTCCTGATTCACTAGTAGATGGCTCTAGCAGTCAAATTAGGATTGAGTAGAAATTGTGCAGAGTCAGTGGGCTGGTCACTCACTACTCACATATGCACACTTCAAAGACAAGGAAACCTCCGAAAAGGAGGCGACAAAAACCCACAACCAGGTTGTAGATCCAAGAAACTACAACAATTATTCTGCAAGTATATTTGTTAAACATATGTGCAGTCAGTGGATTGTAATTTTATGGATTATGATGCCCTGTAGTCTTGCAAATGGTTACTTGCACTTAAGAAGAACATATCACCTATACTTATCACACTATTTACCATTAAATAATGCAAAGTTTATAAACAACTATATCTGTTGCAGCCCAGTTATGGAACTAAGGACTTGGCTAATGGCAGTCTGGCATTAGACATTCATAATCAAGACTGTCAATACAGTGAAGGAAGAAGATATGATTTTGTAGATGTAGCATCAACCTCTTTGCTCTGTACAACACCATACACATACCAGGGTTATCAACAATGTACAGTAACAACAGACTGTCACACCAACCGTTCAGCAAGTTTGCCACCACCATAAAATCAGCTTCCATGTGGAATAAATGTGACTTCAACTGAACATTCTGTACAACAATTCTTCCAAGAACTGAGGTGCTCTGTATCAGTGCAGGACATTCCCACTTTTGAAATGTGTGTCTGAGAAACCACTGTCTTTTAGAATCTATATACTCCAAAATTTGTTACCACTACATATTCATAGTAACAGGAGAATTTTCAATAATATATTTTTTCAGACTGCAACAATTTAATGTGGCTAAAGACACAGACTTTTAAGACAGCGAAATTTTTTTGAAATTTTCTGTACATAAGATATAGTGTAACAAGGCACATTTTTCTCATTATTTCGGAACTGCAATCATTGATTTCAATTCACAATAGAATTTCTTTAAAACTGAGCCCACACATTCTAAAGTCATATTTAGAGTACAGTCAATTCATACATATTCTTGACAGCTGCATTTTTTAAAAAAATCAGTTTGTGATTTGCATTATATTAAGTCAACAGAAACCAGAAAGTTTACAGAAGGCTGCTTAAAGAGTTGTTCTTGTATAAATAAGAAGATAAGAAAATAAAATACACAGAACTGACTCCAAGAGCACAGGATGGCTGACAAGTGGAGCTGGCAGTACAAGTCATCTAACGTGCATTGAAAGAGTCCAGCACACAGTAATGAGTAAGCAATTCGTGACTGGTGATGTAGTGCTAAGCATTCACTATGGGTAATCTTCAAGTTGGACTCAAAGGAAGACATGAAGAAAAAACGAATTAAATAAAAATCACTGTAAAATTAAAATATGCTATTAAGGAAACACATGTCATTGCACTTATAAATGCTAGTATGCTTGTAATTAACTTATAATCAGCCTGTGTGTAAGCTTCAGCAGTGGGTGTTGGATGAATTTTGACTTTCAGGTTTCAGCTATATCTATATACTTTCAGGAACAGTTACATACAAAACAATGATTAGGAAGAAAAAACCGATGCAGCTCGAGTGATAATACTGAGATCAGAGGCAGATATGGATGGACTGGATGAAGCAGTTGTCCTGGTAAAGCATATTAAGAAAGGGCAAAATGGTTGTAGAGGTTAGAGTACTAGAGGTTCACAAATAAAGCTCAAATTTACTAATTATTTTTATCAGCTACAAAGTGGAATTTGTGTATTCTTCCAGTGAATACCTATTTATGCATCTGAATAAGTTTTGTTATATTTAACATTTGCCTGCTCAGGGGATAGAATAATATTCATTCCATCACGATATTTTCAATATTGAAATCACTGGAACTCAAGTTACTTGTAATCAAATAATTGAAGTATTAACAGCACCACAATAGTATCACTTGCATTTTTAAAAGCTGAATCTGCATGATTAATTTATCGGTTAATAGTGACTAAACCAACTGCATGTTTTAGAATGACTTGACTGCTAATCTGTTTCATTAGAGTGTATGTGCTTCTTATAAACATATTTGTATAATATTTTTATTTATAAGTACTCTATATGCATTATATTGAAATGACAATACATGCTAGCTCAGCTAACAACTAATATCAAACTAGCTACAGTTTACTTATATTATGACTACTGATGAAGTACAACCAACGTAACTGACTAAATAACAGCAAATGGGTTACTGTTACTCGTTTACCATAAGGCAAACAACAGAATTTTGTCCTGCAGAGTTAAGGTACCAAAGACCAAGCAAACAACAACGTAGCATCAGATATTGAACCTACCAACATGTTTATATAAACAAAGATTTGTATTTATATTGGCTACCAGTATAATAAGTAAGTTTATAATTCCTGGAATATATTACCACATGTTTCAATGTGAGTTATCTTATTTATTGCCACAGTAAATGTAGACAAGAACCAGGGATAACCATAAATTGATCAGCACCACCAAACCTTTCTTTCCTCTGGAAACTGCATGAACAAATCCATAATAGGGAAGTAATAACTGTCTCTATCTTGATGTTTGAACTTTGATATTGCCACATTAATCTCATTCAAATTTGATACAGAGAGCTCACATTAAAAGTTACATTATATTAATAGGGGATTGAAGTCCCTGTATTTTGGAGCTGCTGGCCACACTTTAGCTCTGGTGCTTGGTCAGGGTCATCTCACACCTCGTGGGGCAGTGATCATGAGTGTGGAACAATGATAGAATGATGATTAACAGGGGAAACCTGAAGAACTCGGTGAAAAACCTCTCTTCCTCTCAGGATTTCCAAACAAAATGTGGACACATTTTTCATTTTCCCCATGTATGCCACATGTCCCACTCATTTCATCCTCTTTGACTTAATCAACCTAATAATATTTTAGTGAAGAGCGCAAATTATACAGCTCCTCATCATGCAATTTATCTGACCCTCCTGTCACCTCATGCCTCCAAACATTTCCCTAAGCACCCTGTTCTCGGACATCCTCAATATGCGTTCTTCTCTCAATGTAACAGACCAAGTTTCATGCTCATACAGAAGTTAACACTTTTATGTGATGTGAGATGCACAGCTACCAACGACCATTCACAATCAAAAACGGCATGGAAGGCATATGAACTAATTTATCATCCAGTTTTCTGAGGTTTCTAATAAAGTTATACCTCCTCCTACTAAGGTGTTCTGAGACCATGCCCTCTTCCTTACCACTCAACAGTTCATACCATTAAATGCCACAAAAGGCAAAGATTATAGGTACAGTGAACTGTGATCTAGATTATGACCTCATGCAGCCTTGTGACTGCTGTGTTGTAGAAACATATCACCTCCATCCATCAACTGATATAAAACAGAAATGATGTAGAAAGAATATATCACCCTCATCTTCAAAACAGAGTTGAAAATTGAAGTGAAGTGATATGGTCCTCATACACACCTACAATACTCTACAGATAACCACAATTTATAATTGCATCATCTTGAAAACCTCACAACCCACATAATTACTAAATAAAATTAATATACCTTAAGAAGCATAGCAAATGACACTCGTCAAACAATGAGGAAAATAGGTGGAAGTATAACATAATTTATTTATATTCCACTGATCCTCCATAGTAGAGGCCAAGGATGTGGAACATGTCATAATAAGAATACGTACACTTACCACAATAAACTTATAATGCAGATAAAAGTACATAGTTGTTACAGCCATTTATATAAATTAAGAAATTTCAATTAAAGTGAATTCTTCTATACAGTAGTAGTGAGATAAAAGGTAATCTTTCAAAACTGGCTAAAATACTTTCATAACATGATTTAAACTTTCAATATTAGATGGATACGAATTGAAAAACTTGATTAAACATTAAAATTAATGTGAAATGGGTTTACATTACATACTAGGCAGAACAGGAACTATTATTTCTTTTTAACATTTTAAAAATATAAGTTTCTATTATAGTTATGAGTCACAGAGGCATATCAAGATATAACTAAAGGAAACATTTTTACATTTTTCCAATTCACACTGAGTTACGTTATAAATTACTATATACTGTTATTTTGGGGGTGTTTTAAGTATAGGAAGTATAAACAATATGCCTACACAAATTATGTGAGCAGTCTGGCAGAACCTGATGGCATATGACTGAATTCTAAACACATTATTATAAAGTTATCCCTTCCAAAAATTAAAGGCAAATCTATATACAGCAATTATTCTTTGTAGAAGACAAGCACAATCATTCCCCCCCACCCCCAAGTCTAGTCTCATTATGACCTAGATTTTAATAGGATGATAAAATTTGAGGTTATGTAACATACACAACATGTGGAAATTCTTTGCATGTGCAGCTTTCTACATCAGTAATACTGAATACTTAAATATTTTACAAAGTATTCTGAATATACTTGTTAGAAAACCTACCTCAAACTTATACTGTACACCACCAACCACAACCCACTTCTGACTGCAATTTGCCTAGCCATGCACAATGTGAAACAAAACATTTTGTAAGAAAGTTCCTTCCTAATAAACTTCAAGAAACTCTACAGAGTGCAGCACCAAGCACAGACATAAGTGTGTTCTCACTTATAAACACAGTGTATGCAATGCATATTAAATAAAATTCTAAGTTGTTTCAACTGAAACCTTGATGTAATTTCTGTTGCTTCTACAAGTGGTTAGAAAAATTACACAGAATTATTAAAGGGGCTTCTATTTCTATTTAAAACATTTTATCACATGCAGATTAGTTGTAATATAATTTGCAAACTGCATATGGCATAAATCCAAAATTACACAATATTAACACAAAATATGAATGCCCTGATCTAGAGCCTGACTGATAACCAGGAAGGGCCACAAATAAGTACTTTATATATTTTAAACAGTTGATTACTCTTAGATATTTAGTAGACTGATTAACTAATTCCATGCAGTAAGGTCCTCTTTGAGAAATTAATAGTATGTTCTCATCATCCTTGACTTTACTTCATCCTAACATTTGGTGAAGAGTACAAATTATGGAGCTGCTCATGCAATTTCACCAGCCTCCCATTACATCATCTCTCTTAGGTTCAAATATTCTCTTATGCACTAGTTCTCAAACACCCTCAGTCCGTTTCTTCCTTTAATGAGAGAGGCTACATTTCATACACATACAAAACAGGTAAAACAAGTAAGATGTCAAAATGTTGGTAAAGCATTTGCTTTTGTGGCTGTATCGATGTATAGTTTTGAATGTAATATGATATTATGAAGGCCAGAAAGTTCAAAACCACTGTTAGAAAAACATATTATCTGCTAAACAAATTGAAATTATAAATATTTCCTATAAATAAATTATTCTACTATAAAGTAAAGCTTTCCCACTACATGCCACAGAGTCACCAGGGAAGAAGAGGTATAGTTCCTACTCATTCTCAACCTCAGCACTACATGGGGATGAGTGGTTAGTGTCACACCCCAGCCATGCTGTACCCCTGGGGAAAGGCAACCCAGTACTCATTGGATAGGAAGTTGGGTAGGTCCCAGAGCCAGTATGGATGTAAAACCACAAGAAAAATCCTTTGCACTTGTCAGGGATTAAACCCCAGTTGTCAAGTCCACAATCAAACACTATACTACTTAAGCTACCCTGGCTCAATTCTTCTATCATACACAAACTGAATGTCTTATACATATTAGAAAGAAATTTTAGGAAACCTTGGGACAGTCCCTCTCTGAAAACATGTGAAACTTAGACCACAAAAATGTTATTACTTAAGTAGGTTCTGATGATGGTGAGTATGAAGATGACTCTTCTGGGTTGTAGCACCATGTAATCTGTAGAAACTTAACAACGTTTCAGAGGTCCTTGCTTCATCCACCATCAGGGTAATGAGTCATCGCCTCAATTATGGAGGCAAGAAGGACCTTCATGTTATTACATTTTTAACATCAGAACCATGGAAGCAAATTTTATCATCATCCAGGAAGAAAGAATCTAGTTGGTGACACTTATAGTTATTTACAAATGTAACTAATTAACTAACTCAACACGGCAAAGTCCTTTCTGAAAAGCTAACAGTTCCTCAAGTAGTCAATAAATTGATCACCATTTCAGGAACCATAAGGTTCATTATCACGTCCACAGACACTCTCTATTGGCCCCTAACCTGGGCCATATGAATGATGCCTTATTTTCTGAAGGTCAATCCTAATATTACTCTCACATTTACATGTAAGACTTACAAGTGGTCTCCTCCTTTCAAGGTTTCAGCTTTAAGAAAATGTAATAATTGTTGTGAATCCTGAGGAAATTATTTTGATGCAGGATACTTTCATTTGGAAAAAAAAATCAACAAATCACTGATGATGCTAGTAATTACTACAATTTTTTCACTTCTTAACCTTGTAATGCAGGGTACGAAAAAAATAGTTTATCATCATAAAATTTTAAAAATATTCTAAAATATTTTTATTTTATGTGAAATACATTAAACGCTTCCCAATTAATTCAGACAATTTGTTTAAGATACAATGTATGAGGAAAAGTTCAATAACTTTAAGGAAAAGAAAAAACATTCTTTCATGTCAAACAACTAATGTTATGACTACTGGCTACTCAAATTAATTTCACCTATAATAAGCAATATACACAAGACATGCAACTGATTACGCTTCGATGTCATATTAAAAACTCTATGTAGTTGTAGATACTGGACACTGAAAACAGAAAGGAAATATGGGCCTTAGTATGATATTATAAAGTACTTTAATGTTCTACATTACTGTGTATTATAGTATTTTCTCGAATACCCCATGCATTTTTTCTTTAAAAAGTTACCAAAATTTGGGGCATGCAACTTATTCATGACAAGGTTGGCAACACTACTCATTCCAAGCCCTATCTAAACTTTCACAACTTCCTCTTCCTTTCATATATGTGTGCAAAGGCTGCACATGAGTGGATGTTACTTTGTGTGGGACTGTGCAAATGTTCTGCTAAACATAAGTATTTATGGGCATGCATTTACAATCTTTCATGAAAAATTGAAAATAATTAGAGGCATAAGAATTCAGAAATTGCACAGCTGACAGAAAATATGTTAGTGCAAATAACATAAGTGACTGGAGAAAGAATAAAGAGTTCATGCCACAAGGCAGTGATAATCACAGCACGTTCCAGTGTCAGAAAGTGATATATCCTGAAACAAAAGAAAATATTTGTGAACATACAAGAAGCGGCGATTTAAGTGTGTTATCAACTGAAATGTGCCAGTCAAAAGCCTCAGCACTGGCAAAATAACATACAATCCAATGTTCCAAGGTAAGACAGGAAGGTGAGGTATTTTATAAAAAACAGACCGTGTATTAGAAAAAGAGTCTCCCAGTGGCTTCTGGACACATACAAAAAGAAAGAATTAAGTTTTGTAAAGTATGAAATCAATTTATGGTAATAGCACAAATATATTTTGAAATGCTCCCAAACAAAAAAGGCGAAATGAGTGTTACATTAGGAACTGGCGGAAACAAGAAACCAATCACCATAATGTGTTGACAGACAGCAGAAAACTGTCACCATATAGCATCCTAAAAGGAAAGATCAAAAATAAATCTAAAAGATGTAAATGTGTAAGAACAAGGATCAGGGTGCATGCACCATGCTTTGAATTAGATCAAACAAATCTTAGTGGATGCTCATTCTAGAGATCTTCCATGAGTATACAACAGAAGTGAAAACAGAACAGTAACTATATTTTTATCCTGCTCTCACATAGTTTTCTGTTTGATCTGAGAAGTAGAGGTAGCATATGAATAGTGAGATACTTTCACAGCCTAGCCTAGGTGAGACATTAACATGTGCTATTTTCATGCTACATGTCAGATCTTAAAACGTATGACAGAAAGTAATGAAAACACACCAAGAACAAAGCGTTCAAATTTCAAGATACTAAACACTCTGTATACTTTAACACAAACACATTCATACTTCTATAAATTCACGAACTTTCTGTTTATTATAAATTTCCTGTAAAACGGGGGGTGGACGTGCAGGTTATTAGAAAATGTGGGATAGCTGAGAAATTATGGTACTTACTGTTCAAGACTCAACTTTGCAGTAAAGCTGAGTCCCAAACCACATAAAATATTAACTGACCAGATTCAGCGTGCAAGCTGTGTTATCAGTGCTGCACACATCTCAAAAAACTCCATTGTGTGGTGTCCTGTGTTTTGTTGCTGTGAGAGACTGGGATCTGAAATTGGAAACATACTCAAAATATAACAGTGGATCAGCAAAACCCAAGTTAGTAAAGGCTTAATACATTATTTGGGGGGGGGGGGCTGCTACTTTGGTGACAATTTTCAAAACTACAAGAGTCATAAATTATTTTCTTTTACTTGGGTATGCAACAATGAATCTGAGCTGTACCAACACAGACCAAAGTTCGTATCTTGGCCAAGGGTATTTTTCCCACCGCCTTTGGTTAAAAAGTGGTCATCGAATAAAAACTCTTCACTCAACAAAATCTGTCAATGTAATAAAAGTACAGCTCAGCACTTCTTTTCACACTGACCATAGCTGATATCTCCACCTGCCATACAAGAACCATCATTCTCCTCGCTACTCTCGCTGCTCAAGCTCTTAAAGTCCAGCAAGTAGCTCTTGTAGTCCACCTGGTACAACTGTAGTGACATTTTAACATACTTCCCACTCAATGCATTCTTGTGTCTTACACGCACATGGAAAGGGTTGATCACTTTCCATTCCTGAAACATTAAAACGTGTTACTAGTTGAGATTCAGGTTCTCACAAGTATTATGAAGATTACTGTCTTCTGGGACGTTGCACTGTGTAGTCTGGTAGAATCATTGACAATCACCCTGATGATGGAGGCAGCAAACATCTCTGAAACGTCAGTAAACTTCTACCAGACTACATGGTGCAACATCCCACAAGACAGTCATCTTCGTGTTATTAGTTTTCTATAGGAACTGATTAAAAATAATTTCAATTAACGACGGTTTTTGTGGAACCAATTATTATTGTTAGCTGAAAGATCACTGTACACAGATAACAGGAAATGGAAAGAGGAAGGAAAACATATCAGTATTGTTCATCTAAATAATGAAAAGAATCGCCTTGCAGAAACTTCAAATTAAACTATTATGACAAAACAACTCTTTTAAGGGTGTGTGTACAGAGAGGGTGATATCACAAAAAGTCATAATCATATGTCTAAAAGCTGAACTATGATAAAATTTATAAATACAATTGAGTCACCACCAAATTCGACACTAAAACCAACATACTTACAAAATCCAGTGCCTTCATTGCACGATAAACTTCATTCATGATATCATTTGGCTTACTCTGTGATCGAATACCTGTAACAAAAAGTATTTAGTACATATGATGAAGCCTAATTACTTTCCAACAATCTGCACAATTATACTTTACAGGAATAAGAATATGATTACAAAAGATAAGAGATGATTTCCAATGTCTCTATAAGCTAATTTTGGTAACAATTAATTTAACATCAGGTGCAACTAGAAGCTGCAATGCCAACATGGGTTTTGCATCAACAACTTGGGCATTACATCTACCTCCTTCAAATTCCCTTTGTGTAACTTAATATTAAAAACATAAGACCAATGTATTTATATCAAAAAGTCTCAATTAATAGCACAGCGAAACACTGATTTACAATACAGTAAATTTCACACTTATAGTTAATTTTCACTCATCTCTAGTCAATAATCTCATTGTTAAACGTTCTCCATTTTAAGTCTCCATACTTAGCTTCCAAATTCACTACTCCCATAGCCAAACCTTTAATGGTGATTTCATTGTATCTACATTTTTCTGAAGGAAAGGAGTTGTGAGCAGTAAAGAGTTGGGTGATATCACTGTTTGAGCATTTCCACTAAAAGATTGGAATCACTTACTTACCCAAATGCCACTTTGCTCTCTTGACTGGCGTTCCCCTGGATGGTCTGTCACCACCTGCACCAGAATTGGGTCCTACCACTCGGTCCCGCAGAGCTGCTGAGAGAACACCACATTCTCCTCACCACCAGGTATCATCTTCGATTAGTGTCACAAAAAAACAGGAATTTTGGCAAAGAAAATAATGAATGCTTCAAATTTTTTTTAGGAAAATCTAAGAGAACTTGACATTAATGAGCATAGAAATAACAGAAGTCAATTATAAGCTACACGTGCACTTAGTTTATAAATGATACTAACCTTTTTGGTCCGTAGCATTTCTTGTTATCTAGTGGACACTGTGAAGCTGAGATTTCGTGTTTTACAATTTTCATAAACAAACTCAGTCCAAAACACATTTTATAAGTAATCAGTCATTATCTTCATCACAAAATTTCAAATTTGGTAACAATTTCACAAACTTATTAGCAACAAGCTTGCTATAATGCCTCATGACATAAATGTTAAAGTATATTGACAATCAACTGTTTTCTTTCATAATTGGAAAATATGAAGAAATTAAAATCTCCAGTATTTCACCAAACAGCTGAAGCTATAAGCATGACCCAGACATTCTAAAACCACAAAAACCCAAGAGTATATGTACCATACCTGAAGAAAAGTCAGAGAACATATACATGTGCATCTGACACACTTCATTTATAAGTAAATACATATACAATATAAACTGAATGAAGAAATTAACACAAACTGCTTTGGATTTAACTTTTAAATAGGTTGGACTGTACTTCATGTCACAAAATTTAGGAGAGAAAATTGCAGATCACGAAAACAACTTACGGGCTATTCTCTCTGGGTGTGGCCGAATGGGGCTTGGGTTTAGCTCGCTGGGGCTGAATGAAATTGGAGGAGGACTGCTAGCAACATAGAAGTCCTTCAGCTCTGCCTTTGCAGCCTCATCTGCTATCCTCTTGTTATCAATAATCAAGTGGTACGCAATGGCTAGCTGATCATGTGGATCTCCACTAAGAAGGGAACAGTGCACTTCGTGCTCCTTCACTCCAAATTTCTGTAGAAACATTTCAACCTATCAGCAACTATGCACAACACAAAAGTTTATATCACTCAAAACAGAATTTCTGAGAAGTTAAAACATTTCCTTCCTTTAACATCTCAAAGGAAATAATTTTTGTAAAAATACAATCAATCCTATTGTCTTAAAACAAAAATAATGTTTTTTTACGTTATATGACGATTGATTTTACTGTTAATCTTTCTGATATTATATACAAAGGAACAGCAAAAGTTTCAACTACAACTTTAAAATATGTAATTAATTATTCTTATAACCCACTCCACAGAGAAAAGTCATTCTTGGAAACATAACAATCACTGAGATAATAAAAAAAATCACCAGCCTTCAAGGTATCTAAAGGTTCATTACTATGTTCACAAGAGCAGGCATTTATTTATGTCACTGCAAATAATGGAAAAGTGAAATTAACACAATACCCATCTTTCTTTGATATTCCATCAATACATATTTTGCATCATCTAATGTTAAATATAGGAATACTTTTTTTTTGTAATGAGAATGCTATTTTCAGTATTTTTCTGAACATTTTCTGCAATCATGTAGATGTATGTATGCCGATGTGTCATAGCAGCTGTTTTCACAAAACGAGTCTGCTTTCCATACCACACAAAAGTAACAACTGACAAGATATCTAAGAGAATTTATGATGTATTTGGTTTCTTATGTGGCCAAAAAATGCAAAGAGAAGTGAATTCAAATATGTACACATTTGTACAGAGGCCATTTGCAACAATTAATTTAACATCAGGTGCAACTAGAAGCTGCAATGCCAACATGGGTTTTGCATCAACAACTTGGGCATTACATCTACCTCCTTCAAATTCCCTTTGTGTAACTTAATATTAAAAACATAAGACCAATGTATTTATATCAAAAAGTCTCAATTAATAGCACAGCGAAACACTGATTTACAATACAGTAAATTTCACACTTATAGTTAATTTTCACTCATCTCTAGTCAATAATCTCATTGTTAAACGTTCTCCATTTTAAGTCTCCATACTTAGCTTCCAAATTCACTACTCCCATAGCCAAACCTTTAATGGTGATTTCATTGTATCTACATTTTTCTGAAGGAAAGGAGTTGTGAGCAGTAAAGAGTTGGGTGATATCACTGTTTGAGCATTTCCACTAAAAGATTGGAATCACTTACTTACCCAAATGCCACTTTGCTCTCTTGACTGGCGTTCCCCTGGATGGTCTGTCACCACCTGCACCAGAATTGGGTCCTACCACTCGGTCCCGCAGAGCTGCTGAGAGAACACCACATTCTCCTCACCACCAGGTATCATCTTCGATTAGTGTCACAAAAAAACAGGAATTTTGGCAAAGAAAATAATGAATGCTTCAAATTTTTTTTAGGAAAATCTAAGAGAACTTGACATTAATGAGCATAGAAATAACAGAAGTCAATTATAAGCTACACGTGCACTTAGTTTATAAATGATACTAACCTTTTTGGTCCGTAGCATTTCTTGTTATCTAGTGGACACTGTGAAGCTGAGATTTCGTGTTTTACAATTTTCATAAACAAACTCAGTCCAAAACACATTTTATAAGTAATCAGTCATTATCTTCATCACAAAATTTCAAATTTGGTAACAATTTCACAAACTTATTAGCAACAAGCTTGCTATAATGCCTCATGACATAAATGTTAAAGTATATTGACAATCAACTGTTTTCTTTCATAATTGGAAAATATGAAGAAATTAAAATCTCCAGTATTTCACCAAACAGCTGAAGCTATAAGCATGACCCAGACATTCTAAAACCACAAAAACCCAAGAGTATATGTACCATACCTGAAGAAAAGTCAGAGAACATATACATGTGCATCTGACACACTTCATTTATAAGTAAATACATATACAATATAAACTGAATGAAGAAATTAACACAAACTGCTTTGGATTTAACTTTTAAATAGGTTGGACTGTACTTCATGTCACAAAATTTAGGAGAGAAAATTGCAGATCACGAAAACAACTTACGGGCTATTCTCTCTGGGTGTGGCCGAATGGGGCTTGGGTTTAGCTCGCTGGGGCTGAATGAAATTGGAGGAGGACTGCTAGCAACATAGAAGTCCTTCAGCTCTGCCTTTGCAGCCTCATCTGCTATCCTCTTGTTATCAATAATCAAGTGGTACGCAATGGCTAGCTGATCATGTGGATCTCCACTAAGAAGGGAACAGTGCACTTCGTGCTCCTTCACTCCAAATTTCTGTAGAAACATTTCAACCTATCAGCAACTATGCACAACACAAAAGTTTATATCACTCAAAACAGAATTTCTGAGAAGTTAAAACATTTCCTTCCTTTAACATCTCAAAGGAAATAATTTTTGTAAAAATACAATCAATCCTATTGTCTTAAAACAAAAATAATGTTTTTTTACGTTATATGACGATTGATTTTACTGTTAATCTTTCTGATATTATATACAAAGGAACAGCAAAAGTTTCAACTACAACTTTAAAATATGTAATTAATTATTCTTATAACCCACTCCACAGAGAAAAGTCATTCTTGGAAACATAACAATCACTGAGATAATAAAAAAAATCACCAGCCTTCAAGGTATCTAAAGGTTCATTACTATGTTCACAAGAGCAGGCATTTATTTATGTCACTGCAAATAATGGAAAAGTGAAATTAACACAATACCCATCTTTCTTTGATATTCCATCAATACATATTTTGCATCATCTAATGTTAAATATAGGAATACTTTTTTTTTTGTAATGAGAATGCTATTTTCAGTATTTTTCTGAACATTTTCTGCAATCATGTAGATGTATGTATGCCGATGTGTCATAGCAGCTGTTTTCACAAAACGAGTCTGCTTTCCATACCACACAAAAGTAACAACTGACAAGATATCTAAGAGAATTTATGATGTATTTGGTTTCTTATGTGGCCAAAAAATGCAAAGAGAAGTGAATTCAAATATGTACACATTTGTACAGAGGCCATTTGCCTCTCAGAGTAATTATTACATATCCAGATGCTGAATTGTCCAATGTAACGTTTTCGCCTAACAATGTGAACTCTCATTATTATAATGAACTTTTATTGCACTGTGAGATTTCAAGTTCTCACAGCAGTCAGAATGAAGATGGCTGGCTATCTTTTGGTTTAATTTGCTGTGTAGTATGGAAGAAGTTTACCGATGTTTCAGAGTTGCTTGGTATCTCTATCATCAGGGCAATCGTCTTGAACTTCTACCAAATTACATGGGGAAACAACCCAGAAGACAGCCATCTTTCTACTACATTATTCGCAGATTTGTTTTTTGAAAACCCTGCACACAATATCATATTGCTGACTTACCTCACACACTTCATTTACAGCGTCAGTGTCAATGACAGAAGAGTCCTGCTCCACTGGAGATGGAAACAGATATGCAGGAAGATCACGTTGGAACCACTCATGTTTTCTTGCATGGAACAAAATATAACATTTTAAGAGCTGGAAATAAGAACAGCTATGCATAAATATATCTGCGGTGTAAAATAAAGCCGTCTTGCTACACGCCATGGTGGTGCTCAGGGAGACCTCAGCACTAGATGAGGATGAGTGGTCAGCAACATGCCCCAGATGCACTTTACCTCTGAAAAGAAGCCCTAGTACCCACTGAACCGGAGGCTGAGTAGGCCACAGAGCTGGTATGCAGAGGCTAGAAGAAAAATCCTTTGCCCCTGCAGGAAATCAAACCCTGTAGTCAGACACTATACTGACTGAGCTACCTGGCTCTTATAAGCTAATGTAAAAAATCATATTTTATACAACCATTTGACATATATTATGTTCCACTGAAGAAAATGCACTCTTTTTTCTACAAAATATCTTCAGAAAAACACACAAATAATTAATTTGTACATGAGTATCCTGTTGCAGTGATTACTTGAAAAAATCTTTTCTTCACTGTCTCACACACACACACACACAACTATTTTTCAGTGACAGCTTCTATAAAAAACCTAACAGAACTGGGTGTGCTTTAACAGAAGGCGCAGTCAGTTTTGATAGGAATTTGGAGGAGAAAATGAAGCGTTATATTTGGCTAAAGACAGCACCTGCTCACAAAGTAAAACAGTACATAAAATCCTTTACAAGAAGTGACAATATAAGCAAGCCTGTAAGGTCTAGTAAACACAAACATGGTAAAGATTAAAAAAGCAATAGTGTTCTGTGTTCAGGCCCAACATTCACCAAGTGTCTGCACCATAAAGTAATGCATACTGTAAGGCTGTAAGTATGAATTTCAAGATTTTGCTTGTGCTTCCATAGAATCACATAGTACTCAAAGGATCGATGTACACAATGTACCACTGAAAAAAAGAAAAACACTGTGTTATGATGAAACACTTTAACAGACTTCAAATGAAAATTGAATGACTCACAGCTAACCCAAAACAAGCAAACACTTCTAAGCTATTATTTATAAGTAAAGAAAACCAGATACGCATAACACTCACTTTATGTCTTCAATGGTGGCTCTCTTCATTGGATCTATTTGCAGCATATGGCACAGCATGCTCACAACAGTTTTGTTCAGGTACTCAGGAATAGGAAAAATTCCAGCTATAACACACAAGAATCTCTTCGTAGATGACCATTCAATGAAAATATAATGAAGTCTAAAAGGATAGCACTTGCCTAAACTTCATCACACATTTTAAGAATAACAAAAGCCATCAGGGTCAAATCTGGGACCAAAGCCGAATTCCAAGTTTGAACACAACAGCTGCCACAACACTTAAAAATCCAAACATATCAGTACGACCCTTAATCAACCAGAGTATGACAGCCAAAGTAGTAGAACCAACTATGAAAATACTTTGTACATTATATATAACTCAAACAATGAAAATGGCTAACATGACTGTGGTTTAAGAAGTGACTTCCATTTTGAGGACTTATTAACATGGCAAAAGTAAGCCACATCTAAGTCTAGTACCATTTATTTTAAAGCTTTTCTACCATCTATTTAAAATTTCTACCATGAAGGAGAATATGAAATGAGTGTGAAGATGGTTGGTTATCTTCTGAGTTGTTGCACCAAGTAGTCTGGTAGAAGTTTACTGATGTTTCAGAGGTCCTTACTGCCTCTATCATAAGGGAAACAACCCAGAAGACAGCCATCTTCATACTCACTGCCATGAGAACCTCAAACCTACTTTAGATGATGGGTGCTCCTCTGGACTCACTAGTCATGTAGGACTGGCATTTCAATGATGCTTGGCTTCATGTAAGTTATTTAATGAGTATTAATAACTGCAGAGGCTGTCACTGACTCAAGCAACAGGATGATTAATATAACAAAATGGATAGGAAGGAGAAAGAAGTGGTCATCACCATGAACAACAAAGAAAAACTACAAAAACAATCAGATTAGCTCATGCCCCAGCTCGGACCAAACTAGGTACCTCCCACACAGATGCCAGACATGTTCACTACTGAACTAAAGTGATTCATGCATGGGTTGACCAGTGATGTAAATGAGTGACAAATAATATGGTCCCAACTTTAGGGGTTGAGGAAAATAAAAACGAAATCTGCCCCA